CCCCCCCCATGCCCACCGAGACGAGCGGCAGGAGCCGCCAGATGAGCGACTTGCCCCAGCCTCAGCCCTAGCCCCTCCATCACCACGGGGGGGCTTGATCTCCCCCACTCAAACAGGGGGGCTTGAGCTCCCCCCCCCACACACACACACACACACACACACATCTCTTCCCTTCCCCCTCCCTTTGCATCACACCATGCTTACCAGCTGGATGCAGTTGTATCCAGCATTGTAAAGTCCAACCCACATCAGAAGGTCGAAACGGGGTCAATTTATAAACATCCTAAGTGCCATTCGTCGAAACTCAGTCATAAGTCGAAGACTGCCTGTACTGTCTGCAGCAAACTGACAGGCGAGCAAGCCAGCAGGGGGATGATAACAGTGATTATCACCTCATCAGCAAGCTCTCTCCATTACTTCAAACTCTTCTTAAACAGCTTAGTGGCTGACTTGTTCTTTAGCTCCAAATAGCCCTCAGCAGTCACTGTTCTGTCTGCCGGTCCCAGTGAAATTGGAGAGAGACGCGCACAGACACCACTCAGCATTAGCTAGCGTACCACATGCCTAGGGTCTGTGGGGCTGGGGCCAGGCTGTGGGAGATGGGAGAGAGGGGGCAGGATTCCTGCTTAAGCAGCGACGGGGGGAGTAGGGCAGGGGGAAGCCAGGCAAACCCTGCTGTGTCACCATGTGCGAGCCGGGAGCGATATGTGGACCCGTCTTTGCGCACGCGGGCTGTGGCCAGCAGCCCGGGCACGCGGGGTCAGAGGAGACCGTGCGGCGGCAAGGCACTTACGGGCTAGAATTAGTCACAGAGGCGTAGTGGTTGATTTAAAGATTGTTTACTTACACCAAAGATGGTCACAGGGCAGGCAGGAAAACTTGCTTGAGTTACAGTTGCAGATAGAAAAGATAAGAGGCGGACTAGAGTTCCTTCCCGTGAACACTCTTCTAGCCCATCCGGTTGGAGGCTCTAAACCGCGAGCCCATCGCACCAACCAAAGAAAGTACTTGAACCGAAAGAGCTCTGAATAGACTCACACGAAGTTTGCTCTGTGGGTCCTTGTGCGCGCAGGGAAGAGGATACGTCGAGGATTGCGCTCGGTGACAGGGAGAGGCTAGAGGCTGATCAGACCCCTGTTGCCTGCTTTAAATGCGCTGGGTCCGATAGGCTCCGCAGCGCTTAGAGATCTTCACACAGCGTGAAGTCTCCTCCTCCTGGTGTTCGTGGAGTTCTCCCTTGCGGGGGTCCTCCTCGGAGTTCTCCAACTTGGGCGGAAACCACCCAAGCCTCTTATACGGCTAGCAAGCCAATCACTAGCCGCCATGTGTGCATAATTTAACACAAGCCAATAATGGGGCTCGAATTAAAATACAAATGGTGGGAACTCTTTGCACCGAGCATTTCTTAGATGCAAAAGAAATGCACCATGCAAAGAAAGCTACAAATTGGCGGGAAATTCTCCCTTGCACCGGGGTTCTCCTTTACAGCAGAAAACTCCAGCATGCAAAGAAGCTGTAATTTAGCGGGAAAATAATTCAGTGGTGCCAAAGCACACACAAAACAAAAAATTACAACTTTGGGTTGTGACATCTGCAAATCTCTTCTGGAGCTCCAGCCAGGGAACAGAGTAGGGGCCAGCCCTGCTGTGGAGCAGAGAGCCCTGCCAAGCCCAGGGAGTATGCTGGGGGTGTCTGGTTTATCTTAAACCAGCAAGGGGTCTGGGACAGACGTTGTATAAACTGGTTTGAGCCAAATCAGTTAAGTCTGATGCTACATTCAGCCAGGTTTATCTCAAACTGGTTTCAGCCATTTTGAAACTAGTTTATGTGCACTGAACACCTATTCTGTTACAGGTTTAAACCAGTTTCTGATCACTTTGTGTGTAATGTCTGTCCCTAGCCTGGGTGTAGCTCAATATAAAGCGGCTTTGATCCAAAAGATGGAAACAAAGCAAGAAAGAAGAAAGCAACATGCTACAGATTTGGACTCCAATTTAGTCAACATATGGATCTGTGATACTTGTAGCAAGCTGTGTCGCTCTTGAATTTGGCTTGTCAGCCACAAACAGATAAATCAGGCACCTGCCAAGACACCATGATCCAGAGGATTGATGGTTGCCTACTACTTCATAATACAGGGTTTTCTTTTCCTCTGAAAAGTAGGCATGTTATGATATACTGCCTTAATATTTGCTTCCTTCTTACTGCTTTTCTGCTCTAGCTCTTCATGCTTTAACATTAACCTCTTGAAACCACAATGAAACCTGAATGGTGAATTTTATCTGCTATCTGAAGCAGCAGCAGAGGTGTATAGTTTGCCTGCAGCAAATTGACTAAGGAAATGATTGGAATGTTTTTAGCATTAGGCAGTTAGTTAAAGATCAAACTCGGGTTTCAAAAGCTGAAGGTGCTTACAAGGTGCTTATTAAAATAAAGTAAATGTGGAGGAGAAGGAATAATTGATGTGCAACAGTAAGCAAAGAAAAGAGGATCATTTTCAATCAAAATAAGGAAATGATTGTAAAGCCATACAGATTAGCCCTAAATCTCTTCTATAGGCATGGTACTATATACCCATATACTTTTAACTTATTTTTCACAGTCGACTAGATGTTTAGTTCATGTATCAAATGAAAGCTTCCCCTAATGTTCCTTTAGCACAGCTTAAAATTAAATTGTATTTCTTTTTAGATTAGCTTAATTTTTTGGTCTGAAAAAGGAACCGAACTACTTACTCTTAGTTCTGGGCCATTATCTGCGATTTCAGCTCAATTATAGTGTATTTCTCAATATATAATACCTCATAGTATATTTGGCTTTTGTAACTCAGTGGTATGTCAGTGTTTACTTTTTTTGCTTGAATTAGAGACATATATGCTGAACAGAAAATTTTACCATTAACACCCTGTTTAGTTTAAACACAGTGTTACAGTGTAAATGTAAATTAAATGTTTGTGCTCGCAGACAGTTATTGCAATCGGCTGGTTTTTGTATAGGCACCCCATTCAGTAATTGAATATAAAAATATAATTACTGTATGAGAGATGCAGTTGTGTATACTGTTTTTCCTAAATAATTGTATACTTTGCTTTTAAATCAGGGATTGTTTGTTTTAACAATGTACTCTCATCTTCCATCAGGCTGGTGAAGAAAGTAGTAATATATCTAATCTGCTTTCCATATTGACTTCTGTGATTTTAAAGAAATGTATGGTAAAAAAGACTGCTCCATAATCCTGGGGAACTGTTGTTGACTATAGAGGTTTCAAAAATGCAACTACTGTCCTTTTGCTCTTAAAAGATAGTGTTTTGCTACCCTCTTGAACCTCCATCCTTTAAAATGCCTAAGCATGTTGAAGTATTAGCAATTAGTTGTTTTTCTGCAAAGGCAACTATAGCTAAAAATAAGGTGAACTGACTGAAGTGTCAACGTAAAATTTGAATATAAAACCAGGCAGCAGTGAAGACTGAATATGCTTCACAGTAGCTGTGGATTTTTGTGTTGTAGTTTGTATGAATCCATTTATGTGGTTGGAGCTCTCAGACTCATTTTGAATGTAGGATAATATGTCCTTATAACTTTACTGTTATTGTGAGTAAATTGCAGGCATTATGGTCTTGCCCACAAGGATAATAAAACCCATTTTCTCCCAGAAATCTTCTGACTTTAGACCTTGTTGGCTTAAAATCACAAGCAAAGAAATGCAGGGGGAAATTTTAGTTCTGCTACAAATATCATATGTGGCTACCAAAAGACCATGCCTACATTTACTGAACTATGATATTGAAAAAATTTCCCTTTTTTTTAAAGCAGAGTTTTTAGCTGAGAAGTAATTCTCAAGAGCCAGCCCATCAACTGCCTCAGATGACCCTCTGCATAGTAGTAAATACTTAATTACTTCTTTCTGACTCATTTAACCATTATTACAGCAGGCAGCTCTTGGACCATTCATTTAGAATGCAAGCACTTGAGCTCTCTTGGAGCTTACTAGAAGCAAATATACTTCTGGGAGTAGATAAATATACATAAGCCAAACCATGTATTTTCAGTATCCAGACAATATCTGTATAGTTCACCAAAGCTCCTTATGAGTATTTTTATTTTCCAGTGCCTGGTACCATTGTGATTTAAAAAGAAAAATGCAATGGCAAAATAAATCAGAATTACAATGGGTGTGTTATAATGCATAGTGTTGCTCATCAACAGTGTTTCTCCATAATCAGAAACACCAAAGCTTGAAGATAATAATTCCCTAGTGTGCTTTTCATTACTGTGGATTGTTTAAAATTATGTATCAAGTGGATCACTTTTGGCCAATCCAAGTACGGTGCCCAAAAGAGAGGGAGGCAATATTTACCCCATTTACTGGATATACAGATGTGACTGTTAGATAATACTGACACTTAAGAATAATTCTAGAACTACTATACTATTTCATAGTTCCATTAAATTTCCTAGTTAATCTGTGTTCTGGCTTACTGATAAAACTATATGGAAAAAGGACTAAGTGGGAAAAGTGACACAGTAACTGTTCTTGATTTGTTAAATGACTCAAAACAGCTATTACCAAATAGTTGTAAGTCATTCTAGAATTTTCTAGTAAATTATAGGTTTGCTCTGTATTTAGAGATTCTAAATGTGTTCCAAAATTCTTTAGAATTGTGCTCTATGTTTTTTCTAAATAAGATCTCAGAAACAACAGACTTTATGGTACAGCTCATACACGTCTTTAATTGGTTTAGAAGATGTTGTATTAGGAACACAGGAATTATGTAGACTTTCTAGTCCAGTGTCCTATTTCCTTAAAGGTACATATAGCACATCTTCACCTTTCTCTTCAGGAAAAAGGGTAAAGTACAATTATTAAGTAACTGGGCATAAGGGAAATTTTTGTGCTAATCCCCATGCATTAAAGGTCATCTTGTGCATTACTAAGTTTTAGAAACTACAATTCTGAGAGAACCTGAGTGATGTGAAGCTTTCAAATTGTTTTCTTTTAGTTGGTGAGTTCGTGAGTGATGCCCTTCTGGTGCCAGATAAGTGCAAGTTCCTTCACCAGGAAAGGATGGATATATGTGAAACCCACCTGCATTGGCACACGGTTGCGAAAGAGGTATAACTATCTACAGATTCCTAACCATACTTTTTTTCAAGCTATAGCATTTTCTTAGAGGGAGGGATTAAGTCTAGTTAGAACAGTGTTATCTGGGGAGAACAGAAAGGATGAAGCTTCGTTTTTAAATATTTATCAATGGATGGTAGTGATTTGATGATTGAAGTTAGAGAAAAGAGGAAACTTCCTGTGTAGTGCATTGCCATATTTACTCAAACATAAGGCAAACCTATTTATAAGATGCCTTCTCAATAATGAGATTCCATATATGGAAAATGTATAAATGTGATATAATTTTCCAGGTATAGAATCTAATTATTGGAAGGTTGCCTTGAATTTGTCCCCCCTCCAACTGCTACAGTAGGGAAAATAAATCTGCAGGGTCAGGTGCCTCTTTGCCTTCCCCTTCCCCGACTAGATTCTTCCCCTTGCAGCCCTTTCTCCCCTCATTACTGTCAGACCCTGCTGTCCCTGAGCACATGGAAAGAAATAGAAAATTTGAAAAACTGACCTTGGAATAAACATCTGTAGCAATTTGCATATAGTATCCATCACCAAGAAATGCTACTTTTTGCCACTTTTGCAAATGCTGCAAGATTTAGTGCACGTACTCCATAAACACACTTTTAAGTAGCTCTTTAGCACCTACTTAGAGAGAGTACAAACTATGCATGATAATAATTCAAAACCAAAAGGCTCATGGTTTACAATATAGTTCACTGGGCTGGGCTTCACAGCTCAGCACTGTTCAGTATGTGTGTACTCCAGATTTCCCCCCCCCCACACACACACACACACACACACATACACACAAAGGAGCCATGTGCTAATTAGCCCCCTTCCTCCCCCACACTCAGAACTGGAACTGGGTATTTTTGTCAGGAGCCCTACGATGCTCAAAAAAAGTATATTAAGATTAAAGTGCAAGCAACCTGGTCCAGGTCCGCCCCACAGAGGGTGCAGCAACACTAATTATGTGAGATGCTGAGAGAGGAGCTGACAGAGAGTTTCTGGGTAAATTGTTTGGGACTCCATTTGGTGATGTTTGCCAGATCTTTAAGGCTGGTAAAGAAACAGGAATAATTGGAAATGGGAAAGAAAGGTGCAGCTCAGATGTGAGAGTGAAGAGGAAGTCAAAATGTATTCAGCTTGTGTGCAGTGGTAGTGGCTCACTATGACTTGAAAAAGATTTGACACTGAGGGGGATTGTGCTCATTGGGCACTACCACATATCTTCTTTAGATGGATTGTACTAACCTATCCTTGAAGTAGGTTCCCATCACAACATTTGCCCCGTATTTGCTATGTGTTTTATAGTCATGGTCAGTGTTGGCTGCATTTAATCAGCTTCATAGTTGGTTTCCATGACTGAGCACATGCTGTTTTTAGCGGCAGTTCAAAGGTGGGCAATGTATTTAATGCAATTTCCTCATATGCAAATTTAAAACAAGGAACTTTTTTCTTCATGTTAATGGATCTTGACTTGTATTCAAGTCAATATGGTATGTTTTCATAAGTGATACTATTTTTTTACTTGACATGTCATATAAAGCTAAGGCTGAGGCTTCATATCTTTGCTGTTACCATACTGTAAACTGCTGTGTGTTACACACGAGTTGTAGTGTTTGTGGGTTTCTTTCCTTAGTTGGGAGGCTTTAAGCACCTGGATCTGTCCCTGTGTTGTCTCCTTGTGGCTGTGTCAAGCAGTGCAAAGGGAGAATCATAAGGATGGCACCTTGCTTTTTAAGCCACTCCTTATCCACAGCCCCTTCTATAGTCTGACATTCCTTCAACAATTTCTTCTCCTCAGCCTTCTGCTTCTGTTACAACACTTTTCATAAAAAGCCACTGTGTTATTGAGCTGATTCCTGAATGCTGTTCTACTACAGAACATTACATCTGTAATGTTACTTCTACCCGCTTGGATAACTCGTGCCCCATAAATTTTTGTCCCACCTGGCATATGGCAGATTTAATCTACCTTTTGTTCTTTTTAAACAAACACTTTACTGTTAATGCTTGATTTTTGTCTTCTATATTGTTGGTTTGTGCCATGTGCCATGCAACAATTGAACATGACTTCTGCCCCAAAAGAATTTTTGGTCTAATATGAGAATTGTTGTGATATACAAAAGGTTGGCATAGACCAAAAAGAAAGATGATAGGCTTTGAATAGGAAAGGACAACTGATACTAAGCATAGAGCATATAACCATAGAAGTCAGTGACATTTTGTTTAAGATAAAGTTAAACTTAATTTTGTGAGTGTCATGATGTGCCCAAATGATGATATCTTACTCCACACCATTTTAAAGGTAAACTGAGAGCTTAGTGGAGGTTCAAATTACCACTTTTTGTGTACAGCCCCTATATGTATATTATCTCTGTAGTATTATCCCTAGCTTATAATGGCATAGCCTAGAGAAGAATTGTTAGGCTATTTAACAGCATTCTTTTCCACATGTTCTGTGTGGCCTTGTCTTTTAGTACCTTGTGCCACCTTTTAAATTGGAAGTGCACTTTCTTTAAAAATAGACCATTTTCCATTACACCTAAAAGGAAGTATCAAACCCCAACATATCAAATGTTTGATGTACTAATTGCTTTTTCAATGGAGTCTTTATCAACATAACTGGATAAACAGGGCAAGCAGTCTCCTATGTCTTGTTTTTCACAACACAATTCTCAGAAAAATCTCAGGTGAGAGGTTATAGGATGTGCCAGAGTATGACGGGCAAACTCATCTAGGAGAGGGGAAAAACTGAAGGAACAAAGCTTTTTTTTAAATGGCTCACCAGTAGGCAGTATAACACAAATGACCACACAATTAATTTGTTTGTCACAACAACACAAAGTCCAATTAATAAATTAACTGCAACTTGAGGAGGCTGTACAGACTTCTGTTGTTTTCTTAAAGTCTATGCCAGCTTTTCCTTGGCCAGCTTGTTGTGTAACAATATTGTTGTTGTTCTCTTTATTCTTTGTAGTCCTGTAGTGAAAAGAGTATGAATCTGCATGATTACGGAATGCTGCTGCCCTGTGGAATTGACAAGTTCCGTGGTGTGGAGTTTGTGTGCTGTCCGTTAACGGATGAAAGTGACAATGTTGATTCAGCTGATGCTGAAGAAGATGATTCCGATGTCTGGTGGGGAGGTGCGGATGCAGACTATGCAGACGGAAGGTAAGAGTGCGTGGATTGTTTTATGGCATTCTTCCATCCCCCTACCTCCACGTCCCCATCCAGCTCACTAAAAACTGTCAAAAGACTATTTGGAAGACTACAAGCCAGCAGCTTACAAGTAAATTTGCTGGAATTCCTTGTTGATTGCAACATGTAGTGACCCCAAACTTCTGGAGCTGCTTCTTTACAAAATTTTTATAGTAACATATTTTTCAATACCTTTCAACTTCTATTAGAGTTCAAACATTCCTGCATGCTTTTGTAGCTGAAACACCGAAGTGTACGTATAATCACATGAGAATCAAAAACTGATGCCATTGTGAGGCCTGAGACACTTATTTTCCCTGTGCAAGTTAGATGGACTAAAAATGTACACAACCAACATAATTGGCAGTAAGAAGTCATTTTGAGCCCCTTTTGATATTCGGGTGTTAGTTTTCTGATGATATCGTAGTAGGGATGCTTTTACATTTATGTTGTCCCCCTAAACATGAATTGAAAAGCATTTTAAGAAAAAAATAATTAAACTACCAACTACAATAAAGCACATTCCAATTTAGATCCTCCCTGTGCTACAGTCATTCACTGGTTGGCAGGGGTGTGGGTGGGGGCTGGAGCCTTCCTGCACTGGCCCTGGCTAGCTGGTGTGG